CCAATGTTCTGGCCCAAGATGCTCACTCAGACTACAGCTGCTATGCTCGCTTCACACACACCATCCAGCAGAGGAACCCCTTCATACTCAAAGTTCAGAAAGTTCAGACCAGTGAGTATACAACACAATGCAGCACACACATACACAAGACCAGCACGTCCCCTAATGATTTATGAGTTATTCAATTCAATTCAATTTTATTTATATAGCACCAAATCACAACAAACGTTGTCTCAGGACATTTTACAAAGTAAAGCCTAGACCTTACTGTTTTTAATATTATTATAGAGGAAAAACCCAAGAAATCGGCATAATTACACCCTCAAACACTCAACAGCAATAGTGAATGATCTCTGTGGTGCATTGCTCTCTTCATGTTTGATGTGCATGTTTTGATCACTAACTCATGTAGAATATGATATATCTCCATCTAGAGGTGATGTCATGATGACATGCAGTGCATGAAATGTGTGATTTTTCCTCAGGTTTATGCAGAAAAGAGATTAAATGAAATATTGGTTTTTCTTAATATAATGTGAAATATGGTCTTTCAGCTTGGCTTATGTATGTTCCACCAGCGTGTGTGTTTGTGGGTGTATGTGTGGACTGATGATCCACTATGTGTGCCTGTGTTTTCAGTGGAGCCGTATAATGAGACATCTTACAATGCCACTGGTGGTGAGTTACTTTCTGTCAGGACAGTGCCGCAGGCTGTCCACCTCCTTAGTTTTGTACCACAGTAACATGGCTAGCACGCTAACCTGCTGGCTCAGTGAAACTCAAGCCATCCACTGACCTCAGTCTGAACTAAGACTCTAATCTAACCTCCTAACTGATTTCTGCAGACATGGAATTTACTATGTGCTTTCATGTGGAAAAGTGAGAATGAGTTGTGTTTCTTTTAAGGCATAGCATTTTGAACATATTTTTTTGAATTGAAGCTGCCAATATTCAATAGTTTAAAATTGGAGAGAAAATAAAATCAGAAAATCAACATGTATTCAGTATGTCCTCTGTAGTATTATTATTTATTTATGAGCTGTTGACCTTATGTGCAGTGCATGTATTAATCAAATCAAATTGTATTTGTATAGCGCCAAATCACAACAAAAGTCATCTCAGGACACTTTACAAAGTAAGATCTAGACCTTACTGTTATCACTATTATTACATAGGGAAAACCCAACAAATCCCCCTTGAGCAAGCACTTGGCGACAGTGGGGAGGAAAAACTCCCTTTAATGGAAGAAACCTCAGACAGACCCCGGCTCTTGGTGGGCGGCCTTCTGCCTCAACCGGTTGGGGTGAGTGGATAGAGGAGAGACAAAAGAAGAAAAGCAACAAGACACAACAAACAATCAAACACTGATCAGGTCGAAACTCAAAGCATCATGGGGCCCCCCAGCAGCCTAGGCCTATAGCAGCATAACTAAGGGAAGGATCAGGGTAACCTGATCCAGCCCCAACTATAAGCTTTATCAAAAAGGAAAGTCTTAAGTCTACTCTTAAAGGTAGAGAGGGTGTCCGCCTCCCGAACTGAGACTGGGAGTTGGTTCCATAGGAGAGGAGCTTGATAGCTAAAGGCTCTGCCTCCCAAATTCTATTCTGGATTTTACAGGGAGCCAGTGGAGAGAAGCTAATATGGGAGAGATATGATCTCTCTTGCTAGTTCCTGTCAGTACTCTGGCTGCAGCATTTTGGATTAACTGGAGGCTTTTTAGGGAATTATTGGGACATCCTGATAGTAAAGAGTTACAGTAGTCCAGCCTGGAAGTAACAAATGCATGGACCAATTTTTCAGCATCACTTTGAGACAGGATGCTCCTGTCACCTGGTATAACCTTGTTCTGTGCTGAACATAACAGTTTAGACTAGCAACAGACTGCATATAAAACCGAACTGAAGACAGTCAGTTTCAGAGATGAACATCAGGCTGTGCAAATGTACACAGTACAAGTGTTGGGCCATCTGCTGAGTATTGGTTGTTTGCTTACGTGACAGTAGGATTCTTGGTGTGCAGTTCCGCACCATGGAAAACAGGCCAGCTAGCCAGGCCCATGTAGCAGGTGTGGAGCCTCCTAGATGTTGCTTAACCCAAGATAGCCACCCCCCAGAGCTTCCCGAGCAGCTGGGAGCTCAGCCGAGTGGCTGAGTGACAGTTCACAAGAGTCGTAGCTGGAAATGAATGCACACAGTGCATCACCTGCCTGTTCACATTTCAAATCGATTTTCCTCACTCAGTGACACACCTGCTGAGAAGACAACTCTGGTAATTGGCAACTTCATAGTCAGAAACGTGAAGCTAGAGACACCAGCAGCCATAGTCAGATGTATTCCTGGGGCCAGAGCAGGTGACATCGGATCCTATTTGAAGCTGCTAACTAAGGACAAGTGTAAATACAGTAAAGTTGTTATTCATGTCAGTGCTAATGACTCCCAATTTCGCCAGTTGGAGGTCACTAAAATTAATATTGAGTCGTAGTGTAACTTCGGACTTCATAGTTTTCTCTGGACCCCTGCCCAATCTGACCAGTGACGACATGTTTAGCCACATGTCATCATTCAACCACTGGCTGTCTAGGGGGTGCCCAGAAAACAACGTGAGCTTGATACACAACTGGAAATCATTTAAACATTTAAAACTGTTGGACTAAACCATTCCTGCGTGTCCTTTTATGAAGAATGCTCAAAGACAAATCTGTCCTTTGAGATATTTATTACAATCAATATTTAAGAAAAAATATTCAAGAAAAGCAATACAGAGCTCTGGATTCCCTCTCTTTCTGAAGCCCTATCACACAGAAGTATAGTGCATAGCTGCTGCAGGAAGCCGGAACCACGAGTTTCCTCTGCATAGAGAATTTATAATAAGAGTCATGCAAATGATCTGACGTCATCCGCGTTGTCCTTCATCCTCGTTCCTTGGTTGGTTTCTTGACTTTGTTCTGACCCCTCATTTGGTGATCCTGTCGCCAGGCAGATTTTGATCTGTGACATTCTCAGTACAACATATCCTGACCTTTCAATAGACAGTTTTAGAGGAAGCACTTTGAGCGTTGCTTTGCAACCGTGGTCTACTTCCTGTATGTGGTTTCCTGTCTACTCTTACAGCCTTACACATGTCTCCTATATTCTTAAAGACAAGTGAACTGGTTAAAACAAAAGTAGATTATAAGGCATATGATACTATTATAATGCATATGATACTAAAATAAACATGTAAATACATTTGCAAATGCAAATTATATGTCAATCCTAGAATTTCATATGTTGATAAATGTTGATAATCTGAAGCCAAGACAATCAGACCTTACACCCACACACTATTCTTGTGCAGACAGTTTAGTCATCTCAGTATGTATCTGCACGACTTCCTGTTGTTCTGAGTCTCTCTGCACCTACTCACAGCATTCCATGTCCACAGGTCAAATCTTTACAAAGGTCAAACAGATTAAACAATTATTTGAAAAGTTTTGCAAATACATAACATAGCACTATATCATTTTATCAAGA